ATGCGTTCCCACTGTTGTCCAATTCTTGCATCATCACTAGGTAAACAGCATGTGATTCAGCACATTGAGCTGATGTGCCCTTGCCTCGAATTAGGATCTTTCCATTTGATAGTCTTAATGCAGCAGCCTTCCACATCAAATGTGCACATATCCTGGAACTGCCATCTGTGAACCGTGCAGCCTTCTCTACTCAGCAGAAAGTTGTTAATAGGGCACTGTCTATGCTGCAGTTGGTTCTGGCAACTTCTCAGGCGTTACATGATAAAATCCATGGGAAAAAGGGCTACTTGCTTGGTGATATGGTAGGTGATGCCCTGCAAAAATAACCCAGTAGTTTATTCCTGTATGAACCATTTCCATTTTATGGAATTATTTTGAGTACCACCTTCTTTATTTAAGTATTTCTCCAACATCACATTACACATCCAAGGCACATCCAAGATGTGTCATGTCTCATGATTTATGCCCTGCTGTCATCAAGACAGTCTCAATTGATGCTCAATAGCAAGCAAGAAATTGCCTTTCAAATAAGTTAGTTGTATATTATGTTGCAGCATCTGGAAACCTCCTAGTACAGAGATCCAGTGGTCATTGTAGGCATAGTTTTTGCCACAAGCTCCAGTCTGCATAAGCACATGTGGGAGTCTCCTCCAAAATCATACCCGAATGTCAATCAAAAGGACCTAGAGGCAAGGAGACTGAGACTGCTTTCTGTAATTCAGACATAGATTGTAGTTGTTTTGGTCCCCATTTGAACACAGTTCTCTTCCAAATGATCAGTTTTGTTTTAAGAAAAATACATCTTTATTGTTTTTCTTCAACTTTGTTTTCCTTTTTATTGTGAATTTAGGGATATTTACATTTCAGATCATCAATTTTGTATTCAATAATTTAAGCTACTTATCTAACACCCCTTTAGCTTACCCTTCTCCCCTCCTTTGATTTCTCTTCTCCCTCTTGTGCCTTTCTATCTCCCCTTTCAGACAAATTGATTCCTGTCAACACTTTAGCCCAGGGCTTTGCAACCTTCCTAATGCTGCGACCCTTCAATACAGTTCCTCATGTTGTGGTGACCTATCAACCATAAAATTATTTTCGTTGCTACTTCATAACTGTAATTTTGATACTGTTATGAATCAGGTGACCCCTGTGAAACGGTCGTTCGACCCCCAAAGGGGTCTCGAACCACAGGTTGAGAACTGCTGCTTTAGACAAATGTTTCATCTTTACTCCATTACCCTTCTCCCTCATGGTAATCTCCAAAGTCTGGGAGCCAACCATAATCCCAGATAGGGAATATGAATCTTCCAAAATCCAAATAGAACCACCAAATGGCAGGTCTCCTGTTTTGTCTTTGGAGTAGGTGGTGACAGTAACTTATTCTTGATTGCCTGCAGCATATCATGCATGGCTCCTACCCAAGTTATTCCCAATAATCTCACCATTTGGGCAGGGCCCTGGGTTTTTGCTGGCTTTATTGACCAACCTGTATTGATCATGTTGAGAGGAAGATTAGGCTTTCTACTCCCCTGAAGAAATATACTCACAGGGGTAGTTCTCCCCTGTCCTATAGGATCACTAGGAGTTGGCATTGATTTGATGGCAGTTTGATTTTGATTATTGGATATGTGAGCCACCACTGTTCCAAATCTGCCCTAGTCCGTTCTTCTGTGTTTGATAGTAACATAAGGTCATGAATATATTTAGATCTGCACCAAGTTCCATCTTCTTCTAACCAAACTATAATGGAAGGCTGAAGAATTTAAATAACCCTTTGGTAATATGGTGAAAGTATATCATGATCCTTCCCACATGAAAGCAAACTGTGACTGACTCTTTTCAGAGATTGGGATGAAGAAAAGAACATTTACAAGATCAGTTACTGAATACCAGTCTTTTCCTGATTGCATTTTCTGCATTAATATCATTAGTACCAGTCTTATTTACCCAGTGGTATTTCTGGCATTAAGCCAAACATATTCTTCCATTCTGTGGCATTCGAAACTAAATAGACTTCCCCTCAGTTAGTCACTCTCACAATCCATATGGTTCCCTGGGAAGCTGATACAGATCTACAAACTGAAACAACTCCTTTACACTAATCTCCCTAGTTTCAATAGTTTGTTGTTTTTTTTTCTTTTCCTCTCCTGGATTACTTTCTTGGTGACCAGTGTTTGTAAGGATACTTACTGTTTTTCTAACACATCTTTCCTCATCCCTGAGTCTAGCTATTAGCTGTGACCCAACTGGCTCTGGGCTTTGTTCAGTGCTACAATTCACTCCTACTTTCTTTACCCCTGCCGTTGCAGCTAATATTGATGAAAGGAACTAGGGAGTTGTATGTCTTGCCCTTTCCTTATCACTTTGTAGTTCCAATACATCCAATTCCTCAAGACTTAGATCCACATGAATAGCTTTTACTTCAAGTAATTGATTGCACGTTAATAGCTTCTTTAATACATGGATGTTGGTTATCCCACCCAGTGACTAAAAATTTATTTTTGCATATATTTATTTTTCCCCAAACCCACATTTTCAGTGAGTTAGGGCTGTTAAAGCAAGCCTCGCCATTCTGATGCTAACTGCACATTTCTTTTAAAAATTCCTACTGGGGGACAGGAGGAGAATCAAGGGAAATAGAGGAAAGAGCTGGGAGGCAAAGGGTATTTATAGAGCTCTAGATAAAGACATGTACATAT